TTTTTTTATTTGCTCAAATCTTCAATTTTCTGTGCCCAGTCAAAATACGGAAAATCGGCCGCCATCTTGCCCCACGACCGAGTTTAAAGAGGAATGGCTCTAGCGGGTAATGTGACGTCAAATCGAGAACACGAAAGTCTGCATTTCACACATTTTCACTTGTTTGGGAAGGTTGTAGTCGATATTGTCCGAAAATATGCCGACTAAGTGTGTTGTAGAAGGATGTAGCAACGTGCGAAATTTGCAAGAGGGTATCGCGCTTCATACATTCCTCATACAACACACCTAGTCGGCATATTTCGGACAATATCGACGACAACCTTCCCAAACAAGTGAAAATGTGTGAAATGCAGACTTTCGTGTTCTCGATTTGACGTCACATTACCCGCTAGAGCCATTCCTCTTTAAACTCGGTCGTGGGGCAAGATGGCGGCCGATTTTCTGTATTTTAACTGGGCACAGAAAATTAAAGATTTGAGCAAATTAAGAAATACTCCAAACAAATAAGCTTATTGCGTTAAGCGAAAAAAAATTTTTGGGTTTAGGTGCACTTTAAGGTGATTTAATCCAAACCTCAGAAATCGATGGGGAAAGAAAGCTACTTTGGAAGCTTCTCAGTCGTGTCGCTGAACTCCACGTACAACGTGGAGTCCAGTCCAGCCCTTATGATAGATCGTGTATGTATCAGTGATGTTTACCTTTTGACTAACAAAGTTCTCTAGTTTTGCAGGTTTGGACATATAAGCTTTTGGATGATTTTGTGTTCCTCTTCAGTAAAAGAAAGTGATTTATGTACCCGCAAGTTTTGTCTTAATTAATTAGTATCTTTCATAATCCGATAATTTGACTTGAATGCTCGGATGCCTGCGTCCCAGTCCTCCTCCAATTACTAGTTAATTGGAGGGGGACTGGGACCTAGGTACACATTTCAAAATGGGGGACAAATAACTCGTAGTGAGATCGTAGTTAGCACGTTGAAAATTTGGCTGTTCTTGGTGGTGTTCGCGCTAGGATTGGTTTCTACAACAACTGTACATACTAAAGTTTCCCATACAGTACGCAGTGTATCTTTTCAATTCACTTTTATGGATAAATAAGGTAAACTTTACAACATGTTGTAACCGACAAGTTACCGACAGGTCACCAACAGTTGGCCAACTGTCAGCTGTTTGTCGGTCGACACTTTTGATTAAACCTGTCACCAAACTGTCGGCTGACAGGTTTTTTGGGAGATCTTTTTCACAATTACCCCTAGATCAAACACTTAGTTCATGAGAATAAAGGAAATGATCAAGAACTTCAGAAGCTCTTGATTGAAAAAAAATATATTCTTGTGAACACCTTATAAAGAACAGTACAGGGAAAAAAACATATTGACATTAGAGTAAAAAGGGATAAAAGACATGGTTAGATGACTCAAGTTATTGTGATGTAGATGCTTCTAAGCCCATTTTGCAACTCTTCTTTTTTTTTTCATATACTGATATATCATTTGGATATCCTGGCCATAATCATACCAGTCTATTACATGTGGTTATCACTCATTTATTTTTTTTATTGTTTTTAAAAAAACCGGAATTGCAATTTAATCTAGATAGATATAATTCCTCATAAATGTGACTATGAATTTGCAATTTAATCTACATACATCATTCCTTATGAATACAAATATTTGGAACTTGGTTTCTTACCGTAGCCTCTTGACAGTGGGCACACTTCACAACCCGCTGGTGTTCCCGTCCTTTTATGTATATGAGCTGTTGACAAACTCTGCAGATCACAGATGGCTCAGTGTTCATTGACATTGGTGGGGTATATGGTGGTGGCATTTCTGAATAAGCCGGCGGAGGCATTCCAGGAATGATGGGGGGAGCATCTTGAACAAAGGATTAATATTAAAATAACTGAAACTACTGCTTTGTTTAAGTTTAGCTCTTTAACAAAAGATCTGACACAACTTGCAAATGCACTACACAAGCTGTATTTCTGCTATTTTAAAATGACAGCTGATACAGTTTATAGAGATTTTTTCCCCCACTGCAAGTTTGTACCCCCCATATCAGCTTTTGCAGTTTGCCCCCAAATCTTTCAGCTTGTTTTCTTACTTCAGAACAAGTTCAAAAAAGAGTGGAGTTATGTAGCAGCTTCACATCACTTTT